TAGCTTACCAATTTTAAGAAGGAAGGGAGAGAGGGAGGGAGGGTAGATGGGAGCGAGGAAGCAAGGGAAAAAGAAGGAAGGAGAGAGAAAGAAAACCTGCTGGAATTTTGACTAGTATTGCATGGAAGCATAGGCCAATTTGCAGAGCATTAACATTTTTACAACTGTGGGTCTCCCAATCCAATTTACATGTTATATCTCCTCATTTATTTAAGTCTTTAAAAACTATTCTCTGTAATGTTCTGCATTTGCTATGCATTGGTCAAGTGCATATTTTGCTAAATTTATTCCTAACAAGGTGCTTAATTTTTTAAATACTATTATAAATGGCATCGAATTTAAAGTATTATTTTCTAATATTTGTTGCAAGTATACCAAAACATAGCTGATTTTTGTATGTTGACTTTATATTCATTAGTTTAGCTAAATTTGCTGACTCATCCTAATAATTCACCTGTAGATTCTATGCATATAATCATGTCCACAGATAATATCAGGTTTGTGTCTTTTCTAATCCTTAAATTTTGAAATTTATTTTTCTTTTCTAAACTACGCTGGCTAGAACCTCCAGTACACTGTTAGATAGAAGTGGTAAGAGTGAACATCCTTGTCTTGTTTCTGGTCTCCAGTAAGAGGGTTCCTATTTCATTATTAAGTATAGACTTTTATAGGTGAAAGGGTTCCCTTCTAGTCCTAATTTGATGCCAGTTATATTTTCAATGATAAACAAATTCTGAGTTTTACCAAATGCTTTTTATTCATCTTTTGAGGTATTCATATGGTTTTTCTTCTTTATTCTGTTTCTGTGGTGAATTATATTGATTTTTAAGTGTTAAACCAACCTTGCATTTTTAAAAGAAACTATTTTGTCATGCTATCTGATACTTTAAAAATATCTCTAGATTTGGTTTGCCACTATTTTGCTCAACAGTTTTATATCTATATTACAATGAAGGATTGGCCTATAATTTTCTTCTCCTGGAATATCCTTGACAAGTTTCAGTATCAAAGTAATGCTGGCCTCATAAAATGAGTAGCAAAGTATTTCTTCCTTTTTCCAATCCCTGGAAGAATTTGTGTAACACTCATATTTTTTCTCATATGTTTGAAATAACTCCTCACTCAAATGTCTAGGCCTCATTTCTTTGTAGGAATTTTAAATTATATATTCAATTTCTCTAGCAAATAGGTGAATATTCAAATTATCCACTTTTTCTTCTATCAATTTTTGCATTTTTCTAGGAATTTGTCCATTTCACCTGCATGTTTAGAGATATTGACATAAAATTCCTCATAATATCATCTTAATATTTTGTTTAATGTTTGTAGGGTGTGTGTTAGTAGTTTATGCTTTTGTTTTATCTAGGTTAGTCTCTCCAGGGATCTATTTATTAGGCTTTCCCTGGAAATATGGACAAAGACATAGAAATTCATTATTCAATAAAAAAGAGAATGCCAACTGAAAGATATATAGTGTGTTGGTAGTTAAAGGCAAGATAAATTATAATTGATTGGGAAGCTCACAGGGACTTAAAGTGGGAAATAATTAAGATAAATCTTGAAGGAAAGTGGAATGTTGACAGTATTAATAGAAAAGGCGTTGTTGGCATAAGAGAAATTTGGATAATGTGTAGCAGAAAATTGGGAAAAGATGGGACGGTCTGGACAATCAAGAGATGTGAGTCATAGACAATGAGAAGACACTGAATTAATATTTTCAGTATTTTCGTATGTTGACTATTTGGAAAATATGAGGAATGATGTTGAGGAAAGACACTAAGTTGTCCAGCCTAGTGATTGGGAGAAGAAAAAGAAGGCAAGAGGAAGAGCATTTCAGGGTTAGAAATGTAGACTTTGTAGGTCCTAGTCAACAGCTGCAGGCTGGGGCCAAGACAGTGGAGGAGCTGTCAAGACAAGGAACAGCACAAGGATGTGATCAAGCTGTGTCCAGAACCATGGGCTTTCTCTCTTTACAGCATAAGAGGAGGAAGGAGTCGGTGAGCACAGACCAGAGAATGGAGCCTGGAGCCACACAAGCCAAGAAAGCGGGCTTTCTAGTAGGGCAGAGTTGATTCTATCAGACTCCACAGCTCAGCCGAGGGATGAGGACCCAGAAAGCCACTGGACTCACTCAGCATACAGGAAGTCACTGTGGGCCTTTGTGGTATATAGGGAGATAGTAAATGTCTGGCGTCAATGGGAAGAGAGAGAAGAGAGGGCTTCATTTCTAAGGGGCATGCTTTTCCAAGCTGTGCAACCCACTCTGTCTTCCATTCACAATTGTTTATTGGTTGCCTCCGTATTCCAGGCACAACGCTAGGTATTCATTATATAGTAGTGAGTAAAATAGACATGATCCCTCTCCTATTGAGCTCATATCTAATGAGGAGCTAAACATCAAATAAATATAAAGAAATGATTAAAAACCATGATTAGTGCTTGGGGAGAAGGAAGAGGGAATTATGAAAGAGAATAAAAGAAGGAGGCCAATTTAGATTGCAGCGGGGATTGGGGAACGCTTGACCATGGATTACACGTAGAAGCATGAAAGAGTTCTGACAGCATTGAAATAACAAGATGGGCTGTTTGAGTGCCTCCTTCGGGGGCCAAGTAAATTCTGGGGTTCTAGAACTTGCCAGGCATCATAACCCCACAACTTCATCTAATTCCCAAACCTCCCTCCCCATCACATGCCTGTCTTCAGGAGACAGAGAAATCAGTCAGAAAGCAGAAACCACCACAAATCAAAGGAGAAAATGTGTAGCTCAAGGCAAAATCTTCTTCCAAAGAACACAAGGAAGATGAATCTACCATTGTTGGGTTATAACGCTGGGAGATTATGAAGGCTAACATGATTAATTGTAATTATCATTTATAATGTATACTCATAATGATATTGCTTCTAGAACATCTTCATTATCTTTCACTTTTGAAATGCTTGGGCTTCCCAACAGATTTCAGAAGGGGCTTTTATTGGGCCCAGATCATCAATCCAAACCTTTTAAGGTAAGGGTGTTGCTACCTCAGAAGCCAAAGACACATTTCCTATCCTGGAAAGCACTAAGTAGTCATTAGCTTCTTCAATCTGTTTACCAGCCCGCCTGTCACTGGGGTTCGACAGGCCTCAAAATTAATACTCTGCTCTATTTGTCCATCACAGGGCTGTCCCACAGACTGCGGTTCTCAAGTGGCCTCAGGCAAGCCTTATTTCATGCCAGAGCTGAGTTCCTGGAGAAAAACATGTCTAAATTGAATTTGGTTTATTCAGTTCCATTTGAAATGAAGTCTTGTTTAAAAGAAAGCCATACTCGATTTTTTTTCAAGCAAATCTTCACCATCTGACCTAATTGGTCTCAGAGACCCTAATTTGGAGACATTTCATGCCCTTCATTTATCATTGTGGCAATGTCAAAATCAGGATGGTTTCTTTCAACCACCTATGCTGCCTTTGTAAGAGCAAGGATGCTCCAAGCAACACTACTCTCCCCAAGCGTCATCGAGGCCCCTCTCTCCATAATCGCTGGCCACCCTCTGTCTGTCTCAGTTTCCTCTGACTACACTGTAGGGCTCCCCAGGCCTCCTCACTCTTGTCTCTCTTGGACACCTGCTCAGTGGGAACCCATGTCCTTGACCATCTCGGCTGGCCCATGCACCTTGGCCTGTTTATATTCAGACCCTTTGGAATCCACAGGGACAACTCACCAGTGACCAGGGGCAGAGCAGCTGTATCAACTCAGCTTGGGGAAGCTCAAGTATCCAGTGATCTTGGCTGTGTGGAGTTTGAAATTAAGCCCAATGTATTACTCACAGCAAAACCAGGGGCCAGCCAAGTTAAATAGAGCACTCCCCGAAACATTCACGGACTGATTAGAGAAGGAAGCTCTGATTTGAAGAGAGGCTATTTTGTGTCTCCTTTTATTTTTTTAAACAACACACTTTCCATTAGTGAGATGGGAAAAGTAGAAACCTCAAAGAATGATATTTATTAATTTTAAAAGTTCAGGTCTGTGACCATATGCCATGTCCCTTTAACTTCATTATAATGGCCACACTTTTATTGAGGTCTTCCTTTGTCCAGAAACTGTGGTAAGCACTTCGTAAGCATCTTCTCATTTAATCTTTATGAAAACTCTGTGATGTAGGCACCATTCTTATTCCCCTTTGCAGATGGGCAAGCCGAGGTCCAGAGAGAGTAAGCACACACTAGTTTTAAGTGGTAGAGCTAAAATTTGAACCCTGGCAGTCTGCCTTCCTATTCTTGCGCACTCTTAAACAAATGCAAGTACCCAGGAGCTGTCATGAAGAGAACCCCTCAAGAGAAAGCTGTGACATTACCCCATGGGTTCATAAGTGGGCGAAAGTTTTTTTTTTTTTTTTTTTGAAAGATCTCTGAAGGCCAGGAATTCAATAAGGCGGAACACACCCCACTGAACCTAGCAGGGCTTGAGTTTGCAGATTATTTTCCAACCAGAAGGAGTTCACTGACTTGGAGGAAGAAAGGAGATCATTTAATGGACTTACAGAAAATATTTTTGTTTTCGCTTTTTTTCTCTCGCAGAACACTTCAAATCTTCCAGGCCATGGTTCATTCCCTCTGTTGGCCTTTCTACCTGGGATTGTTATGAGAGGCCTGAAGCTAAGTCCCCGTGTCCCCCACTGGCCAGGCCTGCCCTCTCATTTGGTCAGGGCACCCATACTGCCTTTGCAGCTGCATATCCACATAGACATGTTTATTGGAGCGCTGAGAATCTCACTTCTCAAAAAGCCCCGGGAATTAGATTGTTTTCCACACTGAAAGTTTTCGTTTGAAAAATAACCCTCTTTGTTTAACTAATGAAAAGGAGGGGCTGCTGCTCGCTTCTCAGGCTGGGTAAGAATTCCATGGGCAGTAATTCTGTTTCTCAGTGGAAAATGTTTCGGTTTCTTAATGTTGTTTTGCAGACTGGTCCCTGCCCGGCCCTTGCTCCCAGGACCACACATATACACATGTGCACATTCACCCATGCACAGTGCAGCATTTTCCACCCTTCCCTGTTGGGGATGGTTGCATCCTCTTTCCAACACCTGCAGAACAAAAACTAGGTGGGTCAGTGGCTGTCACCCAGCCAGAGGCATCCCTGCATGTACGGGAACAGAACGCTTTCCCTGGCCACACTTTCAACCCCAGAGGCTGGGTGGGCCACAGAGGAAGGAAATTGGACTCCAAACTTCTCTTGTTTCTGTGCATCTCCATGTCAAGCAATTCTCTCACACCGTGGAGGGGGTGTTCTGTAACATTCCCTCCTCATTAGGTTCATATGAAATGGCGATAAACACAGTGCTGTCATCATTGGACTTACAGTGTGGCCAGCATGGTGCTGAGTAGTCTGGACTGCACAAAACAAATCAAAACATGGCCCCAGGAGACAACTTAGTGGTGGTAGAAAAAGCACGGATGCTTGCATTTAGACAGACCTGCACTGTCACTGAAACAGCTCAGCCCACGTGCAAGCAACTGCTGAACTACTCCGAGCCTTTGCATCCACAGCTATGGACAAGAGAAGTTATATAACTCACGGGCAGGTGCCGTGCCCTGGGTGGTGGCTCTCACATAGTAGATGTTCAAGGAACATCTCTCTTCTTCCCTCCCCTTTGTTCTCTGAAAACTAGCCGTCTCCCCTCTAGCTGGGGGCCAAGCCCCATTCCTGCAAAACAAATTACAAACAATTGAGTGCAGCCACAGCAGAGCTGAGTTCAGAGCAGGGTGTCCTCACCAAGGTCCACTGCAGAGTTAATGTGTACTGTCAAGGGGGTGCTGTGTGCTGTAGGACTGGGGGATCCAACACCAGTGGGAACTGTTAGGTCTGTTATCCCGAAATTTGAAGTATTCCTTCTCTCTACAGTCTTTTTGTGAGACAGATGTATCTGCCCTGAGTATGTGGCTTAAACACAGTTCTGCTTAAAGCAGGCAAAAGGACTGGGCAAAATAACCGCCATGTGAAAATAGACATTTAGGAGAGCCGCATGCATTAAATGTAAAGAGAAGATTAGCTGTTAGCATGGAGCAAATGAATAGCTTTAAAAGTAGACAGGATAGTATGAAACAAGTCTGTCAGTCAGACTGCTTTTAGTTTTAAGTGATGAAAACCTTCGTCTATATTACCTCTAGCAAATAAATAAATGAGTACTTTATTGGTTCATATAACCAAGACATTCTGGGTTAGAGCTTCAGCTGGGGCTGAACACACAAAGTCATATGATGCTGGTAGGGCTAGCTGCTTTGCTGGCTCTCTTTCTCTCTCCATATTTTCATTTTGTCTAATAGCCTAATTCTCTCCTCTTTTGAATTAGCATCCTATTCTCGACTTAGTAACTCCAACAGAGAAATTCTGTCTCTTGGCATAGGTACATCAAAACCAGGGAGGATTCTAATGGACCCAACCCTGAACATATTACTGGCTAGAGGATAAGGCACTATACTTTCTCTGCTACAGAAAGTGCAGATCTAGACAGATCTGTTTAAGTGACACCCTCTCTAAGTGACAGTGCAGGTCGAAGTCTCCACTCAACCCAACGTTTTAGTGTCTACTCCCTTCTAGCTATGATCTAGCCACTGGGAACACAGCAGTGGACAGGGGAGACGATGCCCGGCTCCCAGGCAGCTTACGGTCTTGTGAAACGCCAACACTTTAGTTGAATCCTGTTACTTCCTACTACTCTGCATCAAGAACCCAACAGAAGTACAGAGTCCTCTCAGTTCACGAAAAAAGCCAATTTCTTTATAAAATTAACAAAGTCACCAAATACACTTCTATAAACTGAAAGTTTCCACATGTAAAGCAAGCATACATATTGTCTCACATTCCAGCCAGCAGGGCAGCCTCAGTGTGGAACCTGCCTGTTGAATGGCACCTCCAGAAGGTATGCAGCAGGCAGTACTGCCAACCAGAAACAGCTGGGGCTTTCAGAAGACATCACTGCTTTGGAGTTTCTTGCAGAAAACTTTCACGTTCATCTCACACACAAGGAATGCAAACTACTTCCATCACGTATATATGTATATTCCTCTGTGTGTGTGTGTGTGTGTGTGTGTGTGTGTGTGTGTGTATGTTCTCTGATCAAAAGAAGGTGGGATACTCTGTAATACTCTGTAATCAATGATATGAAATGGAATTACACCCTCAGTACACTATAACGGGCATTGTGGATTTAGGTTAGGGGAGAAAAGGTGGCCTCCCAAAATTGCTGTATTTGGAGGGACCAGTAGACTTGTTTTTTGATGACTTGGATGTGTGATGGTATGGGAGGGCAGTCTCATCAAATATAATTTACTCAGTATTTACTGAGTGCCTACTATGTGCCAATCCTCTGGTTATATAAAAACAGATAATATAGCATTTCTGCTTCATGGATAGAGTGGCTAAGTTGGTGACCTGCACATAAACCAAGCACACTACAAGTGGGTAAGTGTTCTAAGCATATGTGCACAGCACATTACACTTTGACATGTCTAAGGCATGCAGTAATCTCTTAGTGCCTATGGTGGGGATTAATGGTTTTCTCCTCATCTCTGAATGGCTGGCTGGAACCCCAGCATGGAGCCTTGGCTGGAAACTAGAGGATTCTGGACAAAGACGAGGACAGGCTGTAATGTCAGACCTTGGAACCATCTGAGGCCACCGCCTGTTAAGCACGCTTAACCTCTGTGGACCCAAGGTGGTGTGTGACAAGCATCCCCAGGGCTTTGCTGGGCAATGATTACTTTTTATTATGTTTCTTACTGTCAGGTGCTCTGAAATCCACATGGACTGCTCTTATGATTTCAGGTTATCCCAAAAGAGAAACTCAAGAATCAGTGATGAGCACAGCGGGGAGTGAGCCGGCTGCCTATCTCAAAAGGGCACATCACCATAATCACAGATATACCGTGAGCATATGCAGAAAGAATGTACCGAGGGAGTGTGTGTCAGGAGCAGCCAAGAGGATACATACACCAGGTGCCCCTCCCAGCATCCCTCTCCCCCACCAAAGCAGTGCCTTTAAAATATGTGATAGGTGCCCACATCATCTCTCTGGCCCTGCAGAATGGCCCTCCCCCAACAGCCACCTTTGCTGCTCTTCCTCTAAATCCACCCTGGGTCTCCCCTGGGCTGGCTGTTGCCTTCATATTTCATGCGGAATGTGCAGCTTCCCAGGAGCCGGAGGCATGCCCTGCATTCTGATGCATCGGCTGGCTCTGACACCAGCCAGCTCCAGAGCATGCCTAATGAGGAGGCTGACACCGAGGCAGAAGAGCCAGGCCAGGCTGCGGACGGCCCGCTGCAAACATGGAGTGGGGTGACAGGAAGGCACCAAGGGTGAACCTGGGGGAAAGATGGCGGTTGCCTCTTTAAGACACTACTCTAGCATCAGATACCACAAACATGGGCCAATTTAAACCACACCAGGAATGAATCACAGCCTCGAATAAAGAGCAGTTTGGATCAAGGAACATCCTTGGGGAAAGCATAAAATTAAAAGAGGAAGGAGAAGCGGCAAAGACTAAGAGAAGGCAGAAGCTTTGAAATCACTCATATTTCAGTAGGCAGAGTGGTTGCCCATTTTAGTTTTTCTTCCAGTGTAGAGCGCCTTCAAATTTCCTTAGAGACCACTTCATTATCTAAAAGATCCTGCTGAACAGAAGTTTTTCCTTTCCTTAAAGCCTCATCTACCTTAATTTCATGCATTATTCCTCGTTTTGACTGGTTCTATCAGGATAAATTGACCCTTGCTTCCATGGTATTTCTGGCATTTATCCTTGGGGTAGAGCCAGTACCTACAGTCACCATCCCAAAGCTTTGAGGATGCAATGGTAACAGGCTCATCAGCCATCTACCTAACACTTTGCCCAAGCCTGGTCCCGTTTCATCATTCCAGCAACTGGATGAGTTAGGTGCAGATGAGAAAACCAAGAATGACACAAGTTTATCCAAGGCCATACATCAAACCAAAGGTCTCAAACATGGGCCCGCCTTCAGTACTTTCAAATGAGCTGGATACCCACTAAAAAAAAAAATCAAAATCTACCATTCCACTTGGTTCTCTGTGGAATGATGTGGCAAATCATGATTTCTAATTATTTAATGTAGATAAAAATGTAAGCAAATGAAACTTCACATTGACATAGGAAAGATTGTTATTTACATCATGGACTCTTAACAAAGAAGTTTCCTTTAAAGCTTTGATTTTGTCATTTGTGTTTCTCTCTCTCTCTCTCTGTGTGTGTGTGTGTGTGTGTATATGTGTAATAAGTCTTTGTTTTTGACTCTGAAGACGCTAATTTCACAATGAAATTCATAGTTCTTTATTGAATACTTAATGAAATTTGTAGTTCTTTATTGAATGCTTACCATATGTCTCACAGTTTTCATTAATTGTCTCATGTCATCCTCCTGACACTGTGAACCAGGTGATATTGTCCCACTTTGCAGATGAGGAAACTCTTGTTCAGACAGGTTACACAGTTGGACCAAGAACACAAAGCTCTTAAGTGACAGGACAGGAACCTGCCTGGATTAAAGCTACAGATACTGCTCATAGTAAACCACCCTGTTTTGCAGCCATGTGGTATCAAATGTATTTAATATCATTCAATGCCTTGTGTTTCCCAGCATCATTGTTCTTCTTGTACTTCCTGCCCACTGGGTTCTTGAAATATTTTCCCTGTTAATTCTTGCCCTTTTCCAGAGGAATTGAGTATCAGGATATCAAAGAGATATCTGCATTCCAGTGTCCACTACAGCATTATTCACAACAGCCAAGACATGGAAGCAACCTGAATGTTCATCAACAAATGAATAAAGAAAATGTGGTGTGTACATATAATGAAATACTACTCAGCCTTAAAAAGAAGGAAATCCCGCCTTTTTTTTTTTTTTTGAGATGGAGTCTTGCTCTGTCACCCAGGCTGGAGTGCAGTGACGTGATCTTGGCTCACCCCTCCGCCTCCTGGGTTCAAGCGATTCTCCTGTCTCAGCCTCCTGAGTAGCTGGGACTACAGATGCCCATCCCACCTGGTTAATTTTTGTATTTTTAGTAGAGACGAGGTTTCACTATGTTGGCCAGGCTGGTCTCAAACTCCTGACCTCATGATCTGCCTGCTGTGGCCTCCCAAAGTGCTGAGATTACAGGCATGAGCCACTGCACCCGGCCCCTGCCCTTTTTAATAGCATGGATGAACCTGGAGTCCGCTGTGCTAAGTCAAAGAAGCCCAACACCAAAGGACAAATACTACATGGTCTCACTTATGTTAGGAATCTAAAATGGTCAAACTCAAGCGGAAAGTAGAATGGTGGTTGTCAGGGTAAGAGGGAGGGAAAAAATGAGGAGAAGTTAGACAAAGGGCATGAAGTCATGTGATACACATAAGTCCTGGAGAGCTACTACACAGTGTAGTCCCTAGAGTTAATAGTATCGTGCTGTATACCTAAAATTTTGCAAAGAGAGTAGATCTTAGGATAAGTACACTTTTTGGTCGGGTGCAGTGGTTCACGCCTGTAATCCCAACACTTTGGGAGGCCGAGGTGGGAAGATTACCCAAGGTCAGGAGTTGAGACCAGCGTAGCCAATGTGGTGAAACCCCATCTCTACTAAAAATACAAAAATTAGCCAGGCGTGGTGGTGCACGCCTATAATCCCAGTTTACTCGGGAGGCTGAGGCAGGAGA